AAAAAAAAAAAAAAAATCATTTGTAGGAAAATGGATGCGCTTATATTTTGTGTGGTGTCTCTTCTATGAGAACCAAAAACAATAATGTCACATGATTATTTTAATATGATCCACAACCAAATTCACTTTTCAAAACTCAACAGCCATTCTCAATAGTCATTTCTCATGATTTATGGTCTTTCTTTCTTTCTTTCTTTCTTTCTTTCTTTCTTTCTTTCTTTTGGCAGTACTGGGGATTGAACTCAGGACCTTGTCCATGCCAGTCAGGCGCTTATACCACTGAGCTTTCTCCCTAGCCCAGCCATTCCTGATGAAAATAAAAATTCTCAGGAAGACTCCAGGTTGGAGGCGTAGCTCCGTGGTAGAGCAAGTGTTGGCCTAGCATTGCTGAAGGCCCTGGGTTAGATGCCCAGTGCCAAAACCAAAGAAAACAAATTGATTCCAAGTGATGTAAACAAAATTTTGATTTGCTTCACATAAAAATGGTCACAGATTTCATTATTAGCTAATTTTGTACTTTTCACATTTTTCTGTTCGGCACTGAGGGTTGAATCCAAGGGTACTATGTCACTGAGCTGCATCCACAGTTTATTTTTTATTTTGAGACAGGGTCTTTTTGAATTGCTCAGGCTGTTCTCAGACTTGTGATCCTCTTGCCTCAGCCTCCCAGGAAGCTGGGATTATAGACATGTGCCACCATATTCATCAAGAATTAATTTTTTTGGTTCTGCCAGTCAAACTCATGGCCTCGTGCTTGTCAAGAATTGTTGTCATATACAATCGCTGGCATTTCTATCTGAATATTTTCCTCTGAAATACTTTGTATATTACTAGCATTATTTATTTTTAGGAGCATTAAACTAGGCCTCCTCCAGCAAAATCCAGATGGTTTTATTTCAAAATAAGCCTATAGAAATGAGAAGAATGTCCATTCTAGGTGAGACCTGTGAGAAATACCGAATTATATTAGTACAGAATGTCTTCTTAATCATCTATTAAGTCACCATCAATCATTAAGTGAGTAAATATTTATTATACACTGTTGTATGGAAGGTGCAAAGAGTACAGAGATCCTAATCTGTGTTCCCAGCATCTAGTCTACTGGCCTGGGACATATACAGATAAACAGAACTGGAACCACAGCCCTGAGTGCTACAGTGGCCTATACAAAGAACAGTTAAAACAGTGGAGGACTGAGGAATCCCCCCTCTCCCTCTCCCCCTCCCCTTCCCTCACCCTCTCTGCCTCTCCTTCTCCCTC